ATTACAAAAGAGACACTCTTGAGATGAACTTTGCGTGTGTGTATGTTTGTGTATGTGCGTGTTTGTATGTGTGTATGTGCGTGTGTATGTGTGTGTGTGTTTTAGGTGGAGGGGGGGGGGTTTGGTCGGATGCTTTTGGACCAGTCGAGCCATCATTGATCGGCTCATAGACAGCATCAAGGATAGGCTGATTTCGGAAGGTCTAGAGCCTTAGCAAGCTCCCAACTTTTTAGCCCTGTTTTCACAAATGAAGTCTCGGCTCTTTTAAAGTATTATGGATCTCGGACGTCGAAGTTTGGGAGCTCTTACTAAACGCTTTGTACTCTACTAGTCATCGGATTGGTTCCAACGTATTAGAGCAATCCAGATTTTCTTCCATGGAACGCAAAAGTTACCATCCAGGCACAATTCGAACGACTTCGATTATGATTTTCTTAAACAAACTAGTTTGTTTTTCAAGGCCGCGAGTCGAACGATAGGATGTGTACATCATGAGTGCGGAATGTAATAATGGACTGTGTAAAACAAATTTGGAGAAGCTGGTACCGATAGATCTTCAAAAAGCTATTAACATTTCTAATGTCTGTAGGATACAAGAACCATTTCAACAATGCAACCGCGACATGTGGCAGTCGGCACCTGATATGAAGCTGTTAGGGAAGGGAATGGCTGTATTGTAATCGATAAGTTTTGTGTAAAATAACACCGCGTGCCAGTCTAAGTTTTCTATTCCTTGTCACGTCTGATACAACGAAGGAGAAGTCTATTCGTAGTGTGCACTGAAGCGGCCAAACTAACCCAACACAACCCGGCCCGCAATTGACGCCCGGTATACACGTACAGTTCTGTAAACAAGGATCTATTATAACCTCCTTGGGAGTAGCCCGTACTTTAGCAACAAGAAGGAATATGTTTCGTTGTCTGTTACCGTTAATAGATCATCTGTGCGTGTGGGGGAGGGGATAAAACATTTGCTGTTTTTTTACAGAGTATCCTTACTTCCAGACAACCCTCATTTCTATCTATCTATCTATCTATCTATCTATCTATCTATCTATCTATCTATCTATCTATCTATCTATCTATCTATCTATCTATCTATCTAATGATAATAATAATAGATAGCATTTATATAGCGCAAATCGCTGCTCAACTGAAAGCTCTATGCGCTTCACAATCTATATCATTACGCCAGTAGATCTGAGAGCACACTGAAGAAATCTCAACTTCGTGGGAAACATACAGTGCAAGTGGCCATTTATAGGCGCTAAAACACTAAACATACTGGCAAGATCTTTCGCTGTTTATGGCTGGGTATCCCACCTCGGTGAAGTGGAAAAATTCGTGCAATGTGCCTTTCCCCAGGACACAACGTCGGGCCCGCGGCTCGAACCCCAGAAACCCGCAACCTTACGATTACGAGTTTGGTGTCCTAACCACTAGGCCACCTATGCCATCTATCTATCTATCTATTTATCTAGCTATCAATATATTTATCTATGTTTATCTGTCTATCTATCCACATATCTATCAGAAGTGAAACTTTTCTTACTAATCTTACCTCATACGTCAATAAAAAGCACAGGATTCACACCAACTCGAAGGCTCCTGTATCAAAACGTCGTCAAATCCCACAGTTAGAATTCCCTTCTGTAGACAGTAAATAGCTCTGAGGACACCAGTCACACAGAACTGTCGCCCACTGGGAAGGAACGGTCTTGAATGTGAACACAATAGGTGCTGTATGTTTAGAAAGCCTGAAGACATCAACAAGGAAGTATACTGCTCTGGGTCACAGTACGACAAGTTCTTTTATCCATATCGTTTTTATCGTTTTATTATTTTGCTGCATACACAGAAGGCGCACCGATGTCGGGTGTGTTGCAGTTAGGCGTTTCGCTGTCGCATGCAGAAAATTCGAGTTCGATGGATACCTGAGTGGGAAGAATTTATATGTGAGGCATCGTGGTGAAATCTGGCGCTCATGAAAATAATGAAATCGAAGAAAAAAAAAAAATTTTTCCACCGGTTTAGATTGAAATTTTGTTTTTTGGCTAAACATCTTTTATGTTCATACGAAAACACATTTTCAGGTGAATCTTACTGAAGAACTTTAAATAAAGTCATAAAATGAGTAATGTTCAGTTTTCAAGGACCCTTATCCATTGAATTTAACAAGCTTTGGTGGCCATTTTCTGATTAATTTAACCACTGAAACCCGGCTACCACATTTTCTTCAATCGCAGATATCTCGACTTCTATTCAAGCTAGAAGAAGATTTATTTCATTAAAAGCAAGGGAAATGAATATGCTTTTAGGTGATATCAATAACTTCACATCCCCAAAAAATTGACGAGCGCCTGATTCCACCGCACATCGTGACACATATTAAGTAATTTCGCTCTTTCTGCTGGTATGTTGTATCCCTCTCAGCCTGGGTTGACCTTGATAGGCAGGGTCGGAAGCCTAAACGATCAAGACTGTATCGATGGTGGCGTAAAACACTTGCATTACAGTATAAATTACGAAAGGCGTTATGAGTATTCACCTGCTCTCCTTTTCCTCCATGTCCTCCTCTTCCTGCCCATCCTTCTACCATCGCTCTTCCTCCTCCTCCCCTCCCTCCCCTCTTCCTCTAGTCTTCCACTTCCTCCACCTCCTACTCTCACTCCTCCTATCTACCCACGCTCTTCCTTTTCCTCCTCCTCTTATCTTTCCTCCTGTCCTCATTCATTGTCGCCTTGCTCTTCCTATCCTTCATCCTGCCCTCGATCTCCCTCCCTTCGTCCTCCTCCTATCCCTCCTCTAACCCTCGCTCATTTTCCCTCCTGCTCATATCTTTCCGAAAACGTATGTTCCCAGCATGGTTTCTATACTAGAAATAGAAGTTATAGCGAATGGTTCTGAAATATTACCCAGTCCGATAGATATAATTCTAAATCAAGACTGGAAATCACACTTGCTTACCATGTTTGTTTTAGTAATTGTTTACAACACATTAATACGTCAAATAAGTGCTTGTAGCTCGGGCCCCACCTGATTTTCTTCACCAAATTTACTTCTCAAACTAAGATCAAAACAAACATTTCAAAAAATGTTTGACAAAACAAAATAATGTATTCCGAGTTCCAATAAAAAGCGAAACTGTACGCAGACGAAATTCGCGAGGCACAATAACTCAAAAAGTGATCTCATTGGTCTGGCTGTCTACTACTAGGCAAACATTTACTGACTGCCACAGAAGCTCCGTCCAGTCGGGCGCTCCTTCTGTCAGGGAGAATGAAATTTCATTGGGCTGGAGCTGAACCCTCGCGCCGTGTCACGTGCCTAGGCTTGGCTTGACTCTTGACTCATAGTTTGCACACCCTCCCGACTCCAGACCAAAGCACAGACTGAGCACGCCTCCCC